TAAATGGTAATGAAATACTGTCCCTTGGAGTCACATAGAAATTCGTTATCACGCATAACATCGAAGGAGGCTTTTCGTAGTTCGGTACAATCTGAAATGGAAGAAAAAAGGCAATATTTTTTCTTTATTCAAAACAGGACAACGTATCAAGAAATTGAATAGATCTGCGATCTCCATTTTGTTTCCATATACAGGCGGGAAGAAGAAGCATTAACTGATCTTGGTAGGAAGATTTGTTATATTAACTTACCCATTTCATTATTGCATATGTTAATGGTTTTTAAAGAGCCGACAATTTTCCAATGACTTAGCAACACTTTTAAAAACAATTTTGAGAATATTTCACAAGCGAATTTCGTATAAAATTTCAATTTCATTGTCGGACACTTCGAATGCAAATCAAGCCAAAAATCGATGGATGTGCGAAAAAGTGTAAATGGAATTTCCAAATATTTTAAATTTTTAGCTGGCGTCCACGATATTACGCTCAAATGCAGATCCGCGTTCGTTGAGAGTATGGGACAAAAAGCTGTACAAATATTTGTTGGCAATTCGATGATTAATTGCTGCAGATTAGTGGATTGTAAGAGTTTAAACATATATGGCCATGTCATGTCTTGGAACATAGATATTTTAAGGTTTTGTAGGCGTGGCAATTGTAGAAACTCCTTGATCGGAAGATACGCCTGTTCCAAATGTAAGGTCTCGAGTTGAGGAAACATTTGAGAAAAACGATGCGTTTTTGCTTGGGGATATGTGTGAATTCCTTCACCGGAGTTAAGCCAATTTAATGTTGTAACTTGGGGAAAACTGTAATCGCCATTGCCGAGTATCTCTTCAAAACCTTGAATAATAGACGTTTCCACATTAAGAGTTTGTAGGGTGTGAGATCTATTCAATAGGTCCATCTCATGGTCATCGTAATAAGAATTAATGGTATCGAAAGTTTGCAACGAATATTCATGTAACACCTCGGTAAAATGTTGCCATGTTACACCTCGACACCATATCAGGGACAGATGGGAGAGTGACGGCGGCAGGATGAAATTTTTAGTACGAAATTTGCACTGTTCGAAGGAAAGTTTTTGTAATCTAGGACAGGAATCTGCAATAGCCTTTAGTGTGGCATCAGTTATCAAAACACAATTGGCCAAATCTATGAATAATGCCAAAGACTGCAGATTTGCCAATTGAGGTAAATGCAGTTCTAAAAATAAAAGCCACGCTTCACGATTTGAAAATCTGCCGAAATTTAAACTTTTTAGATTCTTCATTTTTGATAGAATTAACTGATTCACATTTTCTGTATTTTCAGCAACTAAAGAAGAGTTAATGGATAATTTCGTTAGGTTCAGTTTATGGCCAAGGTCGATTAGACTTTCATAATTAGTTTTGATGGAATACCGAGTGCCGATTCGTAGCTCTCTCAGAGATGGTATTCCTGCCAATGTTTCTATTTTCAATTCTTGGTCCAAGACCAAATCTTCGTTACAATGGGCACAACTGCAGCGATCTAAAATCAAACTTTTCAGATCATGACAATTTGTTGCCAACCTTTCCAAAATTCCATTCGAAATTTTACACTGAAGTATTTCCAAAGCGATGAGATTTTCGAACTCTCCGATAATTCGAAGCAGTGCCGCATTCGTACAGTGACATAGTGTTAGTCTTTGGACATTGAAACGATTTAAATTTAGAAATTGGTTCATTTCTTTCTCTTTCATTCGGCAAATTTCATTTCCATTGCAATTCACAAAATAATGATCGCCTTGCTGATTGACTTTTAGATCCTTGCAAGTGGAACGCCATACAAATTGAACCAACGTCTCGTGAAATTCTCTACACACAGGAAGTAGTTTAAGGTGATCTTTCAGCTTCAGATTTCGAAATATTTTTTCCAAAACGATGCTATTATTGACGAGTTGACTATGCGATGAATTAGTTTTGAACATTTTAATTTTTATTTTCTTAAGAACGAATCGAAAGATATGCTACGCGTTTCTTGTGGTACTGTCAATTAAAATCTTTAATTGTAATAAAATGTATCATGCCATTGTATATTTTTGTTCGAAAACCACAGAGAATATCATCGGTCGTGATGAGTTATTTTAAATTAGGAATCTTATCTTACAAATCTCGCAACGTACTATGAATGGATCATGGGTCATGATAGCAAATGATTCTTTGTCACTATGGAAGAATCGCTCATTGGAACTAAGAAACGAATTTACCTAAACATGGAGGTTTTTTTCACAATGACATGTACATATCAGAAATTCGAATTTATTTTAAATCAGTTAAGTATTTTATAAGTTACCAGCTGCACCAGTGGCGCTTCGCTGCACCTACTAAAGTTATTAACAAACCTCTATGCACCTGCCATATATATTTATTTTAATTTAAAAATTAGCTAAGTCTTGGATTTTTATATTCTCGCATTAACACAACAACAATTTGTGAATTTTATGTACATAAAAATGAATAGAAGAGGGCTGGATTACTAAATAGCTATTTAGGACATGTTAATGTCGATCACCTTTATCTGTTAACTCCTCCACAAAATGGCATTTTTTTAAGAAAATTAATATCTTTGAACCTTATATCCTTATTTGTATTTTCATCGCATATTTTGGTTCCGAGATCAATGTAAAATGGACCATTAAGTTTTCGATGTCATACAATTGGAATTTCGCGATATTTTTACACCCTTCACCACACTGTGGTACAGGCTCTTATGTTTTTGTGCATATGTTTGTAACAGGCAAAAGGAAACGAGATAGACACATGGTTCCTTTTGAGAATATGCATAGAACCACTTTCTGAGTCGATTTATGCATGTCCGTCCGCCTGTCTGTAAATGTTAAATTGTAAACAAAGTACAGGTCGCATTTATAATCCGATTTCTATGAAATTTGCACAAGCCCAAGGACGAACCCTATTGAAATGGAAGAAAATCGGTTCAGATTTAGATATAGCTTCCATATATGTTTTCGTCCGATTTAAGGTAAATGGGGCACCAAAGTCACTATATGTCTTTCGATTTGCACGAAATTTGGTATAGAGTACTGAATTAGGTCCAGAATGACATGTGCCAAGTTTCGAGAAAATCGGGTCAGATTGATATATAGCTCCCATATATATTTTCGTCCGATCTAAGGTAACTGGGGCTCCAAAGTCCCTATATATCTTTCGAGTTGCACGAAATTTGGCATGGGGTACTGAATTAGGTACAGAATGATGCGTGCTAAGTTTCGTGAAAATCGGTTTAGATTTAGATATATCTTCAATATATATTTTCGACCGATTTAATTTAAATTGTGCACTGAAGACCCAAAGATTGGCCGATCGGCACACAATTTTGTACAATGTACTGCAGTTACTATAACCTTTCGTGTGTCAAGTTTTCCTGAAATTGGTTCAGATTTACATATAGCTTATATATATATATATATATATATACTTTCGTCCGATTTTAAGTAAATGGCGTACTAAAGACCCATACCTAGGCCGATTGTCAAAACGTACTGAAATTAATATAAATTAATCTCTGACATGTTTCCTTCAAATGGGTTCAGATTTAAATATAGCATAGCTTCCACATATAATTTGGACCTATTCATGGGTGCCTGATTTACAAAGTATGGAATAGGTTGCAGAATGCCACGTGTTGGGATTGATTTTAGTCGATTTACTTATAGATAAAGATCGCATATTTAAATTCGCTTAATTTCATGTCAATGTTCATTTGAAAGACGACGTCTGTTAGGATACATATCTAGAATATCCCAAAGTCGTAAAGGGTATCATATAGTCGGCCCAGTCCGACTCTACTACTTTCCTTACAAGTTTAAATAATTTCTTTGTCGAAGCCTAGGATCTTCTTGGGGTCTATTTTGGAGAAGAAAGCTAGATGATTGATTTCATATTTTCAAACTGTCTGTGTCTTCTGCCACTCAGCGATGTTCAATTGTTTCTAGCTCCCCGTCGTCCTCACATAAACGGCAGTAATCCTCTCCGTTGGTGTCCCATTTTGAAGTGAGAGATCTAATCCTGCAGTGACCTGTTATGATCCCCACAATGATTTTAATCTCTCTCTTATTATGGGACAACAACGAAGAAGTTCTTCGGCGAGAGAATTCTGGCCAGATAGCTTTCGAGATTCTGCAACCAGGTTTTCTTGACCATCTGTTGCTGACTACCTCGCGTAAATCAAGCGGATTCTGCCAATGAAATAACCAATGGGCGGTTGCACAGATCTCTCAGGTCGTCGGCAATCTCATTCCCTTCTATGTTTCTATGTCTTGGAACCCAACATAATTTAACCTTCCGTCGTATGTCATGTAGAGCAGCCTTGCAATCACGAACCGCATTTGAGTTTATAGTGCACGACTATAAAGACTTGAGGGCCGCCGGACTATCGATGTATATAGTCACCGGCCCTATACTATCGAAGCGCCACGGTTCCAGCTAGTACTATATATATAAGCTAATTTATTTTAGACCTATAAATAAGTGATATTTCCAAGCCAATTATAAATCAGTCAAATATAACTAATTTTAAATTAGTTGAAAAGTAATGCAAGCTAACATCCCCATGTTAAAATAGTCAGTTGATCTAAAGAAAAATAATCGATAAATGGACTAGTAGTGGTGGGTTTTTTAAAACTAGATTCTAGTTTTCGGTTTCACTTTAATGTAAATGTGTTCCATACAAGCAACAATGTTCAATATCGCGTAAAGTTTCTATGTTTAGCGATTTTAGAAACAATGCAGAAAAAGTTGTAATTGTTTAAGGGATAATGTGCAGATGTCTGTGTTCCCGAAATACCAAACAATGTTTGCAAACATTGCTACAAAAAGGGCTAATTGGCAATTATTTCCCTGTAATCATCTATAGGTCAATTGCCGTTAGCATACCCATAATTAAGAATTCTACACTGGCTGGAGGGTTATAATAAAATTGAACTAGCCCTTCAAAGTGTTTTCTCCCTTGAATCGCAATGGTTCTGGCCACGGATAATTCTCTACGACTATACGATTTCATTCGCTTACCGTTGTGGTGTTTTAGTGTCGTGGGTATAAAGATATTTCAATGGGATGCAAATGATGTCATGACCACCAAGGAGAAGTGTATCTTTATCTTTCTGGTAATCAATTTTATAGTCTGTTGGTTTACGAAGGTTTTGTTCACTGTGTTTGGTGAGTTTGTCGATACGGTGCACGCAACTCAGTGGATGCTCTACTTAGTTTTTGCCATGAACGGTTGTTTCAAAACCATATCTGTGGCAATTGGTCGCCAGAAGCTTTACACAGTTCTCAAGGACATTGAGCGGATTTTCCCCCAGACTCTAAAGGAACGCCAGGAGTTTCGTTTGACCCACCACTACGCCTATATTATGCGGCACTCAAAATTCATGAGCATTCAACACTGTAGCATTGCCCTGATGTTTATTGTCTTTCCGCTGGTGCAGTCGACAATCGAATATTTGATCAGCGATGCGGAGAATAAGGAATTTGTGGCACGTACACCCTACATTATGGTATATCCATTCGATGCATCTGGCGGAATTGGTTATGCTGTTGCCTATTTATCACAATTAATGGGTGGTTTTACGATTTCGTGTTTTTTCATCGGCTCCGATATGCTGTTAATGTGTACGATCTATTTGGTAATTATGCAGTACGACTATCTCTGTTATCGTATTGACAATTTTAAAGCGAAGGATTATGACAGTGATATGAAGGAGCTAAAAATCGTATTGGAAAGGCATAATTTGTTGAATGTGTAAGTTGAGAGTTTATTAATTTGGCATTGTATCGATAATAATCGATAATATTGTATCATACACCGCGCAAGAAATCCTATATTCCACGTACTTTTATTGGGAATTTTTCCAAACATCTTAGAAAAGGTACTAAGTTTGCGCGTCCAGTTCATTGTCACTGTGCTTCGGAGTGAAATTTATTTTAACATAAAACACTTTAACATCTACTAACACTGATTTCAAATATTAATCCATTTCGGTCCAAGATAAAATTTTTATATTAATGAAAAAATAGATTTTTTATTTTAATTTGGGCCCCTTGATATAAAAAATTTACTCATTTCATTTAGTTCATGAAAATCCTAATTTATATATATATATATACATATGTATATGGGTAATATTGCCAATTTTTTAATATTCAATTTTCAAAAAGTCGGCTTTTTTGTTTTTGTACTACATCAATAATTTTTGGTACACATATATGGAAAAAATTCCGAATACGTTCGTGATAAAATTTTTGGTAGATGCGGGTAAAAATTTATAATTACGCCGTTTATTATATTGAACAAAAATTTGACACATGACTTCATTTGTAAAATATGAATATGCTGATATTATAATAATCGAAAAGAGTTGCACACTTTCGCGAAATATGAAAAAATAATATATACATAATCTAAACACCACGACAAATCAAATGATATCAAAATCAGTCTGTGTAGCGGTTTGTAGCGAAAACAAAATATATTGAGAAAATTATTTGTTTTAGGATCGAAGAAATAATGTCATCATATTGTATTTATCATTGCACATTATGTATGTCTACCGGGTGTCGAATTCATGGCTTAGTCTTCTCTTGCTGTCAACATTTAAATCGCGAAATACTAACCAGAGCAGAATAAAAACTCAAAATATTTTTGAAACCAGTAAGGAAAGTAGTAAAGTCGGACTGGCCCGACTATATGATATCCTTCACCTCTTTGGGTATATTCAACATATGAATCCTAACAGACGTTGCATTTCTGAAGGACCAACATGAAATTGGATCCATAAACATGCCATTCTGCCACCTATACTAAATTTTTCATTTGTCAGATATAGAGTTGTTTCTTACAATGGGACTAAATTATGTAAATCAATTTAAAGCAAATATCAATTCAACGAGTGTTCAATTTTTGGGTAAATATCTGATAAACATGAGGAGTTTGGTGCACCTATTGCTAAATCTTAACCGATTTCAACGAGACTTGCCAGAGATTAATTTATATTAACTACAGCTCATTGTACAGAAATTGTGTGGCAATCGGACAAACTTTGGGTCTTTTGTGTACAATTTACATAAAAGCGGAAGAAAAAAAATTTCCACGAAACTTAGCACACATCATTTTATACTTAATTTAGTACGCCATATCCAATTTTGTGCAAATCGAAAGATATATAGGGACTTTGGTACACCAGACAGACGGACGGACGGGAGGACTTAAAAGGACCCATGTGTCTTTATCGTTTCCTTTTGCCTCTTACAAACATATGCACAAAGACATCACAGTGTGGTGAAGGGTATAAAAACGCAATGATATTAATGTGCACTTATATTTTAGTTCTGATAAAATTATTTTTTGTTTTTTATTCGTCAAATAGTAAATTTGACAGTCAATGAAGACTTCGAATTCGCCATGTATATTTTGCGAAATTTCATTTGACGGCTCAGATGTACTACATGTTGCATTGAATTACCCAAACCTCGTAATGTCTCAAAAATCCATATGCTTTTAACGCACATCCAAATTAGGTGTGCACCCTAAGAAATACATCGATCTATACCTATTAAGAACCATGGATGTCCCAGCTCACACTATTATTGAGATCTGTTAAAGTTTTTAATGTTCTGTTTTCGCAAAAGTTCAAATTCGTAACAGGTCATTTATTGAAATGGAAATTTTCCGTAGAAAACGCAATTAAATCCGCGATATTTTCAAAAACTTTTTTTTTGCCAAATTTCGAGTTTTTGGCAGGCCAGTTCCCGCCGTTCTAGTATATATATTTACATACATTAAAGCTAGAACAAAAACAAAGTGAACTTTAAAATGTCAGCATCCTCATTGTGTATGCTTCTATTTTTACTTTGGCTCGAAGGCCGTGATATTAATGGCAAAGCAACAAATCGAGAAAAAAAAAACATAAAAAAACCTGAACACAGCTTCCACAAAAATAAATTTTTCAGGTCAATATCATGAAAGATTTCCAACGATAGATCAATAAATCCAAAACTACCAATTCTGACCGCAACAGAAATGTAACTCTCTTGGTGTCTTTTTTTACCCTTTGTACTATTGGAAAACTTATTTCACACAAAAAAATCAAATTTCAAATATAGATTCACCCAAAGCCAAATTTAGAACCAGTTAGTACACATTAACATACATTTCCATGACTAACTACTTCAACAATCATAAGTATGAATTTCCAAAACAACCCAATCTTAATTCTAAATCTCAAGAATCCAGCGCTATCGGTTCACCTAAATCCAAATTATATCAAATTTAGTACCGTTTAGTACAAATATATATGTATAAATTTCCATTACTATATACATCATGCAATCCAATGGTAAACTTATTACCCAATTACATAATTCCAGCTCGGTTCACTCTAAATCCGAATTGTACCAAATTTAGTGTCATTTAGTACGCATTAGTAGGCATTCTCCCTACATTCCCCAACCCAACATTCTTACAGTGATCCTAACTCCACATGTCAAGATTCCAGCTCTATCGGTTCACACAAATACAAATTTGGTACCATTTAGTATAAATTTGTGCGAATTTCCAAAACTTTCTACATACCCCAATCATACACCCCAACAATGATTCTAACTCAAAAGTTCAGGATCCCAGCTCTATCAGTTCACCCAGAATTCAAATTGTACCAAATTTAGTACAATTTAGTACCCATAAGTATAAATTTCCAAAACTCCAAAACTTTCCAATCCTACATTCCAACCTTATTCCAAATTTCAAGATTTACAGCTCTATTGGTTAACCTAGCATTTAAAGTGTACCAAATTTAGTACGAATTTCTAAAACTTTCTATAAAGCCCAATCCTACACCCTAGAAGTAATCCTAACAGCAAATGTCAATATTCCAGCTCTATCGGTTCACCCAAAAACCCACTTCGATACCATATAGTACACATTAGTAAGAATTTTCTAGATTGATCCTCACCCATTATAGCTTCAGCCATTTCGTCTAGGTGTTGATGAATCGTTAGGTTAGTCAGTCAGTCAATTACTATTCAGTCAATTACTATTTTATTAGTATAGATAATTCTACTTTATTATTATACCCTCCACCATAGTATGGAGGGTAAATTAATTTTGTCATTCCGTTTGTAACTCGTCGAAATATTCATTTCCGACCCTATAAAGTATATATATTCTTTATCGGGGTAAAATTCTAAGACGATGTAGCCATGTCCGTCCGTCAGTCTTTTGCAATCACGCTATCTTCTGAAGGCAGGTCAATTTCGAAGATGGGTACCCCCAATTTTAGATATTTTGAGGTTCCTGAGCGCGCTTTTCAACCGAATTCGCTGAAAGTTGGTACATTGGGTTACTAATGGGTACTAAATGTCTTCACAAAAAAATTATGAATATAGGTCCAATTTTTTGATCGTATTTTTCCATCGAATTGGCTGTAATTTAGTATTTGGAGTTGTTAATAGATAGTCGTATATGGTAACAAATCCCTCTACCAAAAATTATTATACCCTACACAACTATGTTGTCAGGGTATTATAGCTTTGTGTAGCTCCAAGAGTGTGTAACCGCGAAATATTGGTCCTAGACCCACCTTTATGTACACCGTCGTCATATCTCGACTAGCTGAATCGATCTAGACATGTGTATCCGTCCGACTGTCCATTATAATTTTTAAACACGATACATGCCACAGTTATGGACCAATCTTCACGAAAGTTTGCCCATTAAAGACCCCAATTGTTTTTGGTAAAGATCGGATAAGATTTAGAGGACGAAATGGAAAATACTTAATTTTTTCGTTTTTTCTGGTCGCTCCAGAGGTCGGTCAGAATTAAGCGGGTCAAATGGACCCTGACTTTTCTGTGAAAAATCAGGGTCCATTTGACTTAATTTTTTTTGTGTTTTTTGGACTCGATCTATATGTCACAATTATAAGCCGAACATCACAACACAACCCACGGTGAAGGAAATCTGGACAAGTAATTAGAAGGGCTGTACTTAATATTAGTAATATTCGGAAATTTGTCAGTGTAAGGAAGAGGTGCTAATGTCCTAATCGGGCAAGGTGGTGCAAATATCACGAAATATTGCTCAGGCTCGGAATAAACATCCGCAGAAAGTTAGAGTTCCGCGGTAGTTGTGTAGGGTATTGTATGGTCGGCCCTGTCCGACTATACTGCTCTGCTCACTGGTTAATATTCGCCCCTTTTTGGGGTAGTCCCCATATTACCCCCTTCGCCACACTGTGGTACAGGGTATTATGTCTTTGCGCATATGTTTGTAACATGCAAAAGGAAACGAGATAGACACATGGTTCCTTTTGAGAATACGCATAGAATCGCTTTCTGAGTCGATTTATGCATGCACGTTCGTTCGTCTGTCTGTCTGTAGATGTTAAATTGTAAAAAAAGTTCAGGTCGCATTTCTGATCCGATTTGGATGTAATTTGGCACATGTCACTTATTTGGCCCAAGGACGAACCCTATTGAAATTGAAGAAAATCGCTTAAGATTTAGATATAGCTCCCATATAAAGTTTCGTCCGATTTAAGGTAAATGTAGTACCAAAATACCTATCATTCGATTTGCACGAAATTTGGCATAGGATACTGAATTATGTCTAGAATGGCGAGTGGTAAGTTTCGAGAAAATCAATTCAGATTTAGATATAGATATAGCTCCCATATATATTTGTGTCCGATTTAATGCATCAAAGTCCCTATATATCTTTCGATTTGCACGAAATTTTGCATAGTGTACT